TATGGTCTTGGTCAACTTGCAGTGTCTGGATGCCCATGTCCTTGCTTAGAAAGCATACGGCTGCCTACTTGCTGGGGAGTGGAGGGCTGCCATCCATGGTGCCTGGCCCACCACAGGTTTTGGGTACAAGTGTTTGAAAGAGTGGACATCCTCTCACACTTGGAATTTGGAGCAACATTTTAAAACTGAAAACTGGACAGGCAGTTCAAACCAAGAAGTTCGTGGAGCACCATGTTTTAAGAGCGGGTCTGAAAGCTCGCTGTGGCCCTGGGTGCCCACAGGACAGGCTGGGAAGGAAGGCAGGGGAAAGCTGTGCTGCCCCACTGCTGTGGGTACAAGAGAAAAGAGAAAGGAATCGAAATTCTTCACTAGGAACACCACAGAGATCTTACTGATTTCCTAGGCATGGGACACCAGTCTAGTCTCTAGGTCCATGAACCTGACTTTCTCTGCCCCTACCCAAATACTGTTCTTTATCTATTTAGGAACTTTACAAAATAAGGACAGCAACTGAACGTCTGAAAAATCATTTTAAATTGAAGTACAAAGATTTCCTATACAATATCCATACAATCCTTCCATATAATCACCCTGCACACATTTGCAGGTTAGATTTTTAATGACTGAATACGTGCTAGAGATGCTCACATTCTGCGTGGAGGACTTAGTGCCCAAGAGAGATGAACAATTTATTTCTTTTTACGTTTTTAAAATTTTTATGAAGTTATGTCTCGAGCATACGCGTTGCTTCAGGAGGTTATAATGGTATTTCATGTGTCCAGTTTCACACCCTGTCTTTGAACCCCACTAGCCTAACTTGTGGTTAGCCTAACTTGTGGTTTGACTAAGAACCCTGTTTCTGTCCATCCCTAGGGCCAGAGTTTTTCCCTTCTCTTTTTCTAATATTTCCACAGTTTTTGATATGAAGCAGTTATAGTTTGGGTGGGAAAAGAAGGAAACTATTTCCTTTTTTTCCTATTGATAAAGATAAAATCTCCAAGAAATGAAAAATTTTCTTTCTCGTCCAAAGTTAACCCCATTAGCTCCTTACAGTCTATTATCTGCATGAAAACTGGTCAACCTAAATAGGAAGCTTGCTATTTTTCAGATTTTCTATCATCAAAAATATGGTTCTTTTGGTTGAAATTATCTTGTGCTTTTATTCTTACTTTTCACAGCTTAGTCTCTAGAATTTAGATATATAAGGTATTTTTGTTAGTAATGTTTAGACCAGGTGGTGAGGGGGAGTCTTGCCAGGAAATCAGGGTCAGAGTTGAGTTTACAGCACCCTGTCACTGAGCAGGTGACACTGCCTTGCTTC